TCGCCTGTGCCAGCCTCCGAGGGCCGGGGCCCCCGGCGGGGCTCGGGTGAGCTGGGCTGTGCCTGCTGCCAGTCTGCGGGAGACCCTGGGCAAGCCCCTGCTGGGCCAGCCCCGGGGGCAGGGTCTCCCTGTCCTGGGCTGGTGGGGACCTGCAAGGGTATGCAGCCCCTGAACCTCGGGGTGCTGCAGCACTGCTGGGGCTGGCATCCTGGCCATCTGCCCCCTTGCAGTGGGGTGAAGGTGCCTGGAGCCAAGCAGGCTGTGATTAAATCATTAGTTAATGCACCTGCTGTGCATCAGTGACCTCCCAGCACTGCTGATGCAGGAAGGCTCAGCCTGGGAGAAGGAGAGATGGCCCCTCTTTTGCTCCTGCATTGGCCAGTTGGGACCCTACACCTGAAGTGCTGCAATGCCTGTCCCCTTCCTGAAGGATGGGGGTAACCCAGGGTGCCTGGGGCTCCAAGTGGTTGGACTTGGGAGCTGCACGGGCTAGTTTGGGGAGGGGCAGGGGCTGGAAATGCTCTCTAGCCTTGTACTGTGCAGCAAAGAGAAAGGGCCAGAAGGGCCAGGTGAGAGCAGGTGCTCCCTGCCCCTTTCTGTACCCTTTCTGCCAGGCAGGGTGGGACAGTCCTCCATTCCAACATGGCTCCCCTCTGGGTAGCCTTCCCAAGGAAGGGAGGGGGACAGACTGAGGGCCCTGTGGAGGGAGGGCAGTTTGTAGGTCTTCCTGAGAAGAAGCTGAATGAGATTGGCTTTGATGTGCAGGATGGTGATACAGCCTTACCTTCCCTAGCATTCTGCAGCACTCACCTCCTCATCCCTTTCTCCCCTCAGAGCCCACATCTCCCTCTGGCTTGGGGCTGCAGTTCCAGTTCAGCCGTACACAAGACCAGGATGTTCACATTCTGCAGGCTCAGCTTTGGCTCTATCTTCGAGTTCCTGGAGACCTTGTAGCCACCCTCACCCTGAGAATCTTCCTTGCTGGTGGGGAAGGTGATTTGGTGGGGAGCAATCGCACGTTGCTGTGTGAGAGGCGACTGAGTGCTAAGGGCAGTGGCTGGCACGCCTTCACCCTCATGCCTGACCTGCAGAGTTTCTTTGGGGGAGAGCATAGGACCCTGCGGCTGGAACTGGAGAGCCGTGGGGATGGGGGTGATATCATGGCAATAGTCAATGCCAGCCGGATCCACCAGCCCTTCTTGCTGGCCGAGGCAAAGGTGCGGGAGCTGGGACACCATGTGGCCAAGCGCAGCCTCCGCTGCAGCCAGAACTCCAACCTCTGCTGTCGCAAGGACTACTACGTGGATTTCCGTGACATCGGTTGGAATGACTGGATCATTAAGCCTGAGGGCTACCAGATAAACTATTGTGTGGGCCAGTGCCCTCTGCATGTGGCAGGCAGTCCTGGGATGGCCTCTTCTTTCCACACAGCTGTCTTCAACCTCGTCAAAGCTAACAACATCCGGGCATCGGGGCACTCTTGCTGCGTGCCCACGCGACGCCGGCCACTTTCTGTCCTCTACTTCGATCGCAATAGCAACATTGTCAAGACTGACATCCCTGACATGATTGTTGACGCCTGTGGCTGTAGCTAGGGTTGGGGGAGCCGTGCTGGGTACCTCACTTCTCCAGGACTGTTTCTTTGGGGGGGGGGGGGGGGGGGGGGGTGGGGGGGTGGTGTGGGGGGGGGGGGGGCGGGGGAGTGTGTGTAGCTGGAGAGCAACCTTGGGCTGGAGTCAGACCATGGTGCAATGGACCCATTTGGAAAGGTTGGGAGAGAGAGGGTCTCATCAGAAGGAGCAGGAGTTGTCTCCAGAGAGCAGCTGGGGCAGGGGTCTCTGGAGTCATGTGGGACAGAGCCAAGACCACATCAGACTGCCTGAGTCTGAGCTGTGGGTGGTTGGTGACGCTGGGCATCCCTGCCCTGACTGGCAGCATACCTCTGGTCCCAAGCTGATCCCACATTTCTGGTGATCATGTTCCCTGCTATGTGTGGGGTGAGAAGGCACTGCTTTGTTCACGTTCAGAGCATCTAGTGACAATGTGGGACTTGGCCTCCTTGAGAACAGGGTGGGATGTGGGAATGGGTCTATTTCCTCCAAGTGGGAAACTGGAGGACAAGAGGCAGTCCTGCTTTTCTCCCCTACTGCAGCAAGTCTTCCTGCATCAAATTTGGGCCTATTATTGGGGACAGGTGGAATTTGTTGGCACAAATAGCAGGCCTGGAAGATGAGGATGAAGGGTATGACTTTGTCAAGAACCCCAAAACCACAACCATTAGACACAGTCCTCTGCTCCCAGGAAAATACAGAGCTGTGAAGGATGGCCTTGCTTCCTGACTAGGTCCTATGTAGTTCCCTCTTCATTTCCCTGGGTTTTGTGCTTTTCTTCCCTGCTGACCACCCCACCAGTCAGGCTTCTTCCAGCGCAGTGCCTCCTTACAAAGAGGTCTGACTCAGACTTTGCCTTTAAGACCATACTAAAGATACAGGCTGTTTTTTTTTTTTTGTACCTCTAGTTTTGCAGCTATTACTATTTTTATGGTAGAGGTTTCTGCAGCTGTTGGGACTCCCTGATGCTCCATCCTGTCTACCTGCCTCTCTGCTGAAGATCCCACTCTGCCTTTGCCTTCCTGATACTCATGTATGCAATGTACCCACACGGCCTGTGCTTTTAATTTATTTTAATACTTTGGTGCAGCTTCCCCAATAAAGGGGTGGAAATGCAACATCCAGGCTCTGACTGCTTTCTCCTGGCACCACCTGCATGAATGGGGTGGGGGAGATGGTTCTACTTGGCCAGAGGCCCTGTGCCTGGGCCCAGACCCCTCAGGCTCTGGGGCTAGAGCAGCAAAGGAGCTGCAAGCTATTAGCAGCTGTGGGCAGCACTGCTGTGCTGGGAGGTGAGGGGAGCTGCGGTGCTTCTGGGGTTCCCCGGGTGCCATGGGATGTTGCACACTGAGACCCTGTGTGATCAGGGCTATGCAGGGGACTCCTCCCTGTGGATGGGGGACCCAGGGATAGGGCAGGGGCTGGGAACCAGGTACCACCTCACTGGGGGTTGCAGCGGGGTAGCCTGTAATGTGAGCATCAAAGAAGCTGTTTCCCAGCAGGACAGATACTGCTGGGAGGCATAGCTCAACCTGAAGATGCTGTTCTCCACCTGGATCAGTCCCAAAGGGAGCACCACAGCTCTGGAGCCTCTGGCCCCAGGGGTTGACCTCAAATGACAAGGCACAGCCTACCCCCAAATCCTGTGTCCCCAATGCAAATACCAGAGATTGTACCCTAGTTACGTCTCATTGACCTCCCCAATCCCCTTTCATATGCTCCCCTAAACCCGATGACCCCAGTCTCAACCCTGTAGCAGACAGTTATAGAGTCTTGCAGTGCCCAAGCTTGTGGGTGATGGGGAGTCTCCTGTGTAATTTGGGGTGGAATGCTTCTGGAGAGGGAAATGATGCCCCCTGCTCATCCCTCTGGGATCTCGCAGGGCTGGCCTGGGTCCTTTGTTGTGCAAGCACCTGCTCAAAGCTCAGTTTGGGGCTCTTTTATCTGGGGACAAACCCACTTGCTTTCCCAGCTTGGCTCTGTGCTGCACCCTGCAAGCAGACAAAGGGCAACTTTCATCAGCTGGCTGCAACGGGCATCCCCCTGAGGCTGCAGGGCCAGCATGGCCATCACCCACACTCCCCAAAATATCTCCACCTGTGGGGAAAAGCCAACTGCACCTGCAGGGTGCCTCAGCCTTCTGGGCATTCCCACAGCCCCAGCACATGTGTTGCTGACACAACGGAGCACCTTGTTGGTGTCTGTGCCACCAGGAACCTATGCTGCCATACACGTGCTGAGAGTTGCAGGCGTGGATTTTAGGTAAGCGCATGGGGAGGTGCGCAGTGTCGTCGTCGTCTCCCTGCCCCCTTCCTGTATCGGCACCCTTGATCCAGCCAGTGCAACTGGGGGCGGGGGGGAGCACAGAGAGGCATCCCGCAAAGATGCCAGATACCACGTTTTCCTTTGCCAGGAACACAGTGTCTTCTCTGTTACAGTCAATGTGTGTTTCCGTGTGTGTGCGTGAGGTTGTCCACACACACATGTGTGATGTGCTGACTCACTGACACACTGGCACGATGACCCACCAGCCCAGAGCCAAGATGCTGAGCTGGCTGTGGTAGTACCGTTAAGTCTTTAAGCTGGATGATCATCTGGCCCTGCTCTGAGCCGCTTTAACTTTCCTAAACAGGAGGCCAAGATTAACTGTGGGGTGGGGGACACGGCAGGGTTGGGGGTCTGGTGGTTGAGAGCCACCGAAGTGGGGAGCTGCCCAAGCGTTGTTTCCCCCCCAGGGGCTCAAAGCTGGTGGCAAAATGAACCTGGGCCTGTTTGGCCATGCAGATGGCCCCTTGGGAAGAGGCGGGTGGTCTTGGAGCAAGTTCCCAGACCCCAGGAGGGAGGCCTGGCCAGGCCATGCTGTGGTGGTGTGGGCAGCAGGGCTGGCCCCGCACAGTGCCCAGTGCCCGTGCAGGCCTTTCCTGGCAGCTTAGCCGGGGTCACGCTCAGCTCAGGAGTAAATCTGCTGAGCTGCTTATGCCTATTACAAAACAGGCATGCAGGCAACCTCTCTCACCTGCACCCACCACCTTGGCCCTGCCCTGGGGCTGGTGCTGTGGGACTCGATCCCCTGCAGCAGTCTGGGGGCATCCCAGGACACAGCTAGCTGTTCTCTCCTTGTGCCAGAGGAAGGGGAGAACTGTGTAGGCATTGCCACCTCCCCTGTGTGCTGGGGCCTCCCTGGGGAGCAGAGACATCCCTCCTCACCTCTTGCTGTGTTGGGGGTGGCTGGCAGGGAAAGGAACTGATCTCAGGCTAGGACAGTGGGGAGGGAAACTGAGGCAGGGAGCGGTCTTTTTTCAGGCCATGGCTGGGTGCTGAGATGTCTCCTGAAATCTCTCTCATATTGTAATCCCCATGTTGGCCCTCTGCTCTGAGGGTCCCATGCAGTCAGTAGAGAGGGTGTTTCCCAGAGCTGTGGCATGGGTCATGCTGTAAAGCTACTCCTGTGGTGCACTGGACACCTGTGGTGTGTGATGACACGCAGGGGCACTGGGAGAACAGGCTAATGCTGAGGAAGACAGAGTGCCCACAGTGGGGGTAATCCTGCTAAGAAGCTCTGAGGTCAGGCTGGGCGTGTGGCCATCTCCCATCATCTCTGAGGCTCACACTAGACATGGGCAGCATCGTCCCAGAGAGCGGGATGGAGCTGGCAGGAGCTGGCAGCAGCTGAGCATGGGGGGAGAGTGAGAATGTGCATGCCCCCACAAAAAGTCTGGGGTCACCTGGGGAGCTGAGCATGCACAAGGTGGGGCACATGCTCCCTCCAAGCAGGTTCTCCTCCTGCAGGAGTCCCTGGGAACAGCCCTTTGCCAAGCCCCACTTCTGGTCCAGCCCTGGTGGTCCTGCTGCCCTGCCTGTTCTGGGCTACAAGGCTTCATGAGACCCCTGTCTCAGCCCCAGAGCTCCCATGTGGGCTGTCCAGGCAGGGGATTCCTAGCTTTGGACTTGCTTTCCCAGCAGTTGAGGAACAAGGACTAGGGAAAATGGGGCAGGGGCAGAGCTCCAGGAAGGAGCAGGGTCCCCAGGCCTAAGCAGGTCTTGGGGAGGTCATCCTGCCTCCCCACTGTGCCTTGCTGCCATTGACACATGCTGTCATGTTCTGGCTAGGGACAGGTGGGCAAAGGCCATTTTCCCTGAAATAGCTGCATAGCTGCTTGCACCCAGGGCCAGCCTGGCTCTTCCCCTACATTTAGTCACTGTGGCACAGAGAGGAACTGACCTTCATTGTAAAAACAAACAACAAGGAAAAGCAGTGCTGCCGGGTGAGAATGATGGTGAATTAATTTCCCTCTAACCCCCCTCTCCCCTCTCCAATCCCTGGAGCTCCCAGGCCATGTTTCTCGCTCTTGCTCAGACATCCACATGCTCTCCTGCCTGCCTCGGTACAAGTATCACTATTGCCCTGCTTTCCCTTCATATGTGACAGGACCTGGCTACCTGCAGAGCCTATGAGCTGGATAAGGCTAGGCTGTTTCAGGGAAAGGGGGCTGGCTGTTCAGACTGTTTGGGGCATAAGACCCATTTGGGGAAGGGAGCAGAATGCCCCAGCTCTCTGCTTGCCTTCTGTACAGTGACACAAATGCGACGTGGGACTTGACTTTGTCCCCATGGGGATGTACAGCTGTGGTAGCAGCTGACAAGGCACAAGGCTGTGTGCAAATGACAATCACTGCCAGGCCCTTGAGATGGTCTCTGGCCCTGCAGTGTTATCCTCACCCCCTCCACCACTGGTAGCCCTGGAACAGTTGATGCAGTGGAGAAACATCTGGGTGGTGAGTAGGAGGCTGAACTGCAGGCACTGGTGCCACACTGGGACATGGCTGGGAGAACTGCTGGGACAGCAGTCAGGCTATGGGCCATGAGGCAAGCAGCCAGGGGAGCTTTTGGGGTGGGATAAGGCTTTTTGAGCCACAGACACTGTGACTGAACAAGGAGACACCTGGGGGACCCATCAGGGCATCCCTGGGGAGGATTGCTGGGCA